GGGATGAAAAGGAGCAGGGGGGGGGAGGGGGGCAGAACAAAAGGAACAACAAAATGTTTGTGAGCGTGGTGAGTAAAGCATTGACAAAATTAGGGTCCTTCGGAAAAGCCAAATGTCTAATGTACTGTAGGCCTACTGTAACAACAAGATGAGTAACAGAAATGGATGTACAGAAAAGTGGGAAGACATGGAATAACATCGAGAGGCTAGTACAGGATAGAGAAAGGTGGGAAGACATGGAATAACATCGAGAGGCTAGTACAGGATAGAGAAAGGTGGGAAGACATGGAATAACATCGAGAGGCTAGTACAGGATAGAGAAAGATGGGAAGTGTTTGTTCGTGGCTTATGTCCTGATCCAGGGTGAGAAAGTGTTTGTCCGTGGCCTATGTCCTGATCCAGGGTGAGAAAGTGTTTGTTCGTGGCCTATACCCTGATCCAGGGTGAGAAAGTGTTTGTCTGTGGCCTATGTCCTGATCCAGGGTGAGAAAGTGTTTGTTCGTGGCCTATACCCTGATCCAGGGTGAGAAAGTGTTTGTCTGTGGCCTATGTCCTGATCCAGGGTGAGAAAGTGTTTGTCCGTGGCCTATGTCCTGATCCAGGGTGAGAAAGTGTTTGTTCGTGGCCTATGTCCTGCTGACTGACTGATGATGTAATGATAAAGAGCTGTGAAATGACCAAACTTTTATGTCATAAAAAGACTACACACTACATAGGCCTACCATCGCTTGACTCATCTGTGTCAACATACTACACACTACATAGGCCTACCATCGCTTGACTCATCTGTGTCAACATACTACACACTACATAGGCCTACCATCGCTTGACCATCGCTTGACCATTGCTTGACTCATCTGTGTCAACATACTACACACAACACACAAGACACAACACACCCACGCCTGACTCACCTGTGAGGAAGTCCGCCTGACCCCCAATCACATGTAGCAGACGAGACACGCCCCCTTCCCCGGTCGCTGACGGCTCCACCTGGGGGAAGTAAGGACATCTACTTTAGCAATAACAACATATGTAACGACACCGACAACACAATTAGGAACAAGTTAAACGGCAAGCTTTTCAATGTTCTATGCCTGAAAGTAGTGAAAGCAAAATTTTTCAGACGAGAGAAAAAGCCATTTCATTCTTTCAAAAATTATACCTTTAATATTAATGTTATGATGTATCTTATCCTGCTTTTTGGGGTATGTAGAACTTAAATTTCAACAAAATATTTCATAAGTACACTCAGGTACCTCAGATTTAGAAAACACTGT